ACTAAACCTCAATGTGTCGGCTAGTACAGCCTTATATATTTCGGCTCCTGCTTTCTGACCTCTCTGACTACTGTGACGTTACCGGCCAATTCTAAGCCGAACAAATACCCTGTCCACATTACTTTAGAGAATCTCGTCTTCCTACTCTAAGCAGTAAAGATTTCTCCATTCTGACCCTGTTCTTTCCTTAATTCTCTGGCTTCATTCCGCCCTCCATCGGACTGCTAACTCTTAGTACCCTGCCCTGACGGAGTCTCATCTGACAAGTCTACTTCCCTCTGACTGCCTTCAAAGCTGCGAAGATACAAACAGTCTAGGCTCTGTTGATAAAATGCTATGTTCCCTCACCTCAAGCGCGTGCAAGAATTGCTTACCACCATTAACCTATTAACTCCGTAAGCCTCCTAGACTCATTCCCCCTATATCGCTACAGCTTTTTTATATTTACTGTATGTCCTAATCCTAATACGTTGAAGTATCCAGTCTTGCCAGATCGGCCTCCTTTTTTCCGGATGCATTCAGACACCTGAGACGTTGCTTCCCTTGTCTTGGTTGAACTAATGGACTGTTCAAATTTCTTCGGAAGCCTCGTTAACTTTTACACTCTTTATTAATATAAGGCCGTTCTCATCCCTACACTGTCCTATCCTTGTCCTCGTGTCTGATTGCATTTCTTTAACCAGACAGTCAACTCTGTACCTTGCCTTAATCTAATCTCATCAGACCAGTCTGTTGCTTTCTGACTGCATCCATACTATCGAGACCTAACGGATCTATGCACTACATAACCAACGCACTGATTCCCTCACCTTGAAAACTTTGCTGGATTAGCTTACACTCGATTGGTATAGCTCACTTTAATCAGTAAAGCTATCGATTCTGCCCTCGTCATTTCCGTACAGCGCTCTCTGTTTTCATTGTACGCCGATTAATCAAGTATCGCCTGAAAGATCTTGTACTCTCCGAACTCTCTCAGATCACTGTTAAGTTAATGGTTAAGTTTCGGTTGACGGTGCGCTATGTGTGTCTCCTTATTTTCTTCATCATTTATCTTGACCCAGCACTTTCATTATCGCTCTCATTGTATTCCTTCCTTTCTCAATCGGACGGCAAACTCCCTGTGCCCTGCCAAGACTCCATTTCCTTGTCTCTGATTGCTTCTACGCTACAGAGACACAAACGGTCTAGGCTCTAAGGACTTGAAGCTTTTTCGCTTCCCACGGCAGCCTGCCAGACTTTTTCACCCTTCATTGGTATATACTGTTTACACACTTTAATAGTTAGACTTAATGTGCTTTCTGTTGCCATTCCTTCTTCTACTGGATGGCCAGCTCGCACCGCCCTGCCGTGGGCAAGTCTCACTTATCTGTCTCTTTATTTCTCCCTCCTCTAGTATTACTCAGACTTAAGCGATATACGCGCCGTAGACTAAACAAGATGTTTCCCTTAAATCCTGAGCCTGCTAGACTTGTCCAACATTTACTGTTAGCTATTTCTCACCCTTACTATATGTCCTTATGCAAACGCGCCGACTAATCAAGTCTTATCCGATCGGCATCCTGCTCTCCGGATTCATTCAGACTTCTGAAACGGCACGTAGCTTATTTCGACTGAACAAACTACTTGATTATATTACCTGCGAAGCCACATGAGCTTTTCCCAACTTTCGTCAATAAACCTTTCTCATTCTCACACTAACGTATTTTTTATCGTGCTCAGTTTTCAATTCTTCTTCAACTGGAGTGCCAGATCTCACTGCCCTGCAGTAATCTAGTCCCACTGATCAGTCTAGTTCTCGCTGACTGCTCCTATGCTGCCCAGACTTAAGCGGTATACGCTACGCAGTCTCAACGCTCTTGTTTCCCTACCCCATGAGGCTGCTAGACCCGTTCACCCTCTACTGTGGCGGCCCATTTTCCCACCTTTATTTTACTTGCTATTCCTACGCGCCGACTAATGCAGTCTCGCCAGATCGACCACTAGTAATCCGATTTCACTCAGAGTCCTTCAGCGTTACAAATCTTGGTTCGACTGACCCATCCTTTTGTTTACATCACCTGGAAGCCCTCGTGCGCTCCTCCACGCTTTACCAATTTACCCATCTCACCAAGATCCTGAACGTTTCTTATCTCGCTTTCTGTTTTCATGCCATTTTTGTAATCGGACGACCAGCTTTACTGCCCTGCCGTGATCTTGTCTCACCGGATAAGTCTGTTTCTCGCTGACTGCTCTCATGATACCGAGACTGGAAAGGTATCGGCTCCGCAGACTAAACTCTGTTACCCCTACTCTGAGGGATTGCCGGACTTCTTCCCTCGGTAGTGTTATAGCCTTCCTCTTACTTTCATTGTAGCCCTATTCCCAAAGCGCCGATTAATCCTTTCCCGCATAGTCGGCCTCCTACTCAATGGATACATTTGGAGTTCTGAGACATCCCTTCTCTTGGTTCGGCTGACCTAATGGTTCTGTTTACATTACGTGGAGAGGCTCGTGGGCTTTTCCACTCTTTACTAATAAACACTTTGCATCTACACTTTAGCCGTTCCTTATATCGTTTTCTGTTTTCATTCCTTTCTTAATCGGACGGCCGGCTTTACTGCCCTGCCGTGATGTTGTCTTACTTTACCAGTCGGTTGCTCTCTGCCTGCTCCTATTCTGCTGAGACTTGAGTGGTATACGCTCCGCAGACTAAGCAAGATGTTTCTCTTACATCTAGAGCCTGCTAGACTTGGCCACCATCTATTGTTAGCCCTTTACTCACCTTCACTATATGGGGCTATACAAACGCGCCGATTAATCAAGTCTTACCTGATCGGCATCCTGATCCCCGGATTCATTCATAATTCTGAGACCTCATCTCTCTTGGTTCGGCTAACTCCACTCTATCCCTTTACTCTACCTGGAGAGCCTCGTGGGATTTCCCAACCTTCGTTAATAAACCTTTCTTATACTCACGCTAACTTATTTTTTAACGCGCTATGTTTTCATTTCTTCTTCAAGTGGCATGTCAGATCTCACTGAATTAAGATTCCTCTTAGACTTTTCATGCAATGAAGCGCACGCAATTTGGGAGCTGGTTATCCTGCGCCTGTCGGCTGAGCTCCTCACTTGTCTCTCCTGATTTGACCTATCGCCTTGTTAATGCCTGCGCTCTTCCTTGCTGGATGTAATCCTCCCCCTTGACTTTTCCAAGTCATCTGGATAAGCAATTAAAGCGAATTTTCAGGTATTAGTGAGTAAAAGGTGTGGAAACAAGAAGGCAAAAGGAAATCAAGGAAATCTGGATCACCGGACGAAAGCTGTGTAGTGGAGAAAAATCCACCTTCGTCGTTACGTTATGAGTGGTGAGGCTCAGCAGAGCGGCCTTTTGGTAAGGTTCAAGGAGCAAAATGCGCCAGTTGGGCCTGGAATTCATGTTTAAAGTATTATGATAACTAGGCGCTGGTTCTCTAATTTGCAACTCTTCTGCACAATGAACTTTTCTGAACAAGGTCACTACCGCAACACTCCGGACGTAGCAGCTTCCAAAGGTTCTCTAAAGTTACACCAATTCTGTTAAGAAACTGGCATATAAGTTATTGGCGGATTCAAGTCAATCTCTTCACAACGCTTTATCTGAATGTCTGTCAACTCCGACTTCTAGGCAGAAGTTTAATAGTTATACGTTGACACACAAACTTATCGCTCCTAGGTCATTTCTTAAAGCTCGCGTTTCCTGAGGGATCCAAATTGGTCGTTTTAGACCTGAGCAGCTGATTCGCAGTATGATGACGTTCCTGTCTATTATATTGCAAAATACTTTTGTAGTACTGTTCTGTAATTGTTTTTTAATTGACACAATGCTGAGGTCGTATAAGTTGTGGCTGCATATTCACCTACGAAAGATGAATTAATCGATTTCTTAGCTTGAGGTTACTTGAATATATAAACGAAAGATGGATACATGTAAAGTCAACGTTGAAGCACTGAGGCCTCGATTTGAAATGCGGCAATACACTATGCCAGCTTGCCTAACTGACGTCTTAACGTTAGGCGATGTAAATCGGTGTTTGGAATTCCGCATCCATCTGATAGTGGAATGAAGTGCATATCGTGTGAGGACCAACACCTCATACCTAATTTTAACTCGCTGGTACAAAGTTAAGTTAGATTCCGTGAATTAATGATTCTAACACTTCAAGCCTTCTAGTTGGCACGTAACTTGCTTGAAAAATAGTATACTAGGTCCTAAAGCTTCAGGTTTTCCATCACCTTTAAATTTGAGCTCTTCCATTCTTTCTTTTTCCACCATGGTTGATATTGCGAGCATTTAATGCATTTTGCTCCATTTAACGCCAGTGGAAATTTCTACTGCACCTTTGAATGTGACGAGCCTTACGTGCAGAGTCCACAACAAGCGTGACTTGTGTCGCTTTATTTATCCTCGTGACCTACGTAGGAAACAGATGGTTTACTGTGCGTTCCAAGAAGCCTGAAGTGAAAGTTAAACAATATTTCACTTACCTAGTCACAAAAGTCCTAACGTTCTTAAAATTTAAAATGTTGTATTACATTCCCCACACACCGTTGGTAGAATCTTGAAGCTTAACAGAAATACTTGACCAAATTTAAACTAATAAACATATTTTTTTGATTTTACTGTCAGGTGACTGACTGCCAATTGCAAACTAACGATACATAGTTGAGCATAGATAATCACAATCTCGGACAAGAGAGCAAACATGAAGTTACGGGAATCGGAGGAAGAAAAATGAGCGTTGTATATGCGTGTTAACAAGACAGATATGTTATTGCAAGGCGACCAAATAAATTACAAAGCTCTTCAAACTTATTAATCCAAACTAGAACAAAACAGATAGCACGAACGAACTGACATGCTAGATAAAGTTCAACAAGATTTCCAAACTGATTGAATTTGCCATTTAAAATTGCAAAGGAAAGGAGACGCGGACACGAAAAAATAAGAAAAAGTAAGCAAAACTGCATCTAGCTCAAAATGATCACATTGGCCTACATGGCAAGAGAGGTTGAATGCACGGAACAGTCTCGCCGCCGGTTAGGTGCATCTTGTGTAGCTCTTCGCCAAGAGGTTGATAAAATTTGAGTTCCATGCAAGTATTGTCAATGAATTTGACCTTTGTATTTCGAGTAAATGAGGAAGAAAAGGTAACTTACCACAAATTTGTAATTTTTTCCGGCGACAATCTGGGAAGAGACGCTTAATAGATCAAAAGGATTTGGGTTCGCGATTCCATCTGCGACCAGTTTAGATTGAAGCTAAATAAAAGTGCCGGAATTAAAAGTAAGAAAAAGGTCAGCTTACAATGGGCGCGTAAAGTAATCGTTGTTCCTCGTTTGGTACGCACGGATAATTGAAGCCTCCTGGCACTCTCGCTTCAGAAAAGCAGAAAGCGTGTTTCACACAAAGACTCAGCAACAGGAGAGAAGTAACGCTAAGCATCATGTTGGCTTCAACTGTAATGTTATGGAAACGTGGCAGAGGGCAGAGCGGTTTCAATAGGAGTGCGGTTTTATATGCACCGAGTGGCTTGACATCCAATCATATTGCAGATATATAGAAGTAGGTCAGTGACCAATAAGAAACAAATAAAAGTGGAATGACATTAGTTAAGTGCAAGAGAACTACTGCATTCGACGTAGAAATCTAATCACGAATACCTCAAGTTTTTTTCATTATTCATTCACGTGTCTGGTCATCTGGCTAGCACCTTGGCGTAGTTGCCTACCATCCGATTTTAGCGTGATACACGGCAATGAGACACAATTTCTTTTCAACCAGTACGCCGTGGTATTGATTCGAGACACATTAGGTTGTATCGTGAAAGAAATGAAAATTAGCTATGAAAGTTTCACTAAGCAACAATAAAGTTTACACTATTGATTTTAGACTTGCAGCTTGTTGTGAAGCTAAAAATAACTTAGAAAATAACTAGTTCATAAAATATAACCAACAATGCTTATTATATAATGAGCTAGGCAGATTAATAAAGTACTGCTCTTTTTGTATAGATTCGTCGCAGTTAGATACAGGCAGACAGCTACCACACATCCAGGATGTGAGTGGCTGCCTGCCTGTGTCTAACTGCGACGAATCTACACAAAAACCTAATAAATCCCCACTACTACTTACAAAGTAGTGATCTATAGGCGTAATGATTAAGAGATCTGCAGGTCAAGTTTTAATCAGTTGCGGAAAGCATTCAAAGTTGGGTCTCCAACATCTGGAAAAGAGCGTGTTGGTTATAGACATGTGCAAATAAGAGAAAAGATGCTATGGTACTCCCAAACTCAGTCATGGTTGAGAGTTCGCTTCGCGTGGCATTTTTTGTAAAGATGACTGTTTATTAACAGGTGTAGAAGCTCAAATGTTTTCCTAAGAACAACCGATTATACTAATATTGCTCTGGTTAACATAAACACACCTGCGTTATTCGTCACGTTTGCAGAGTGTCAGTTCTGCCTCGACATTTTAAAGTTTACCCCGTTATACATTGACCAACATACTATATCAACATGGTCGTAAAGCATTCTCGCACATAAGGCATCATACAGCGGTCACGTTATCCTAAACGTAGTACGTTTCAAGAAAAGCGCTTACGTTATCTCTCTGGATGAACTTCGGGATCTGTTTACACACCCACAAATACGATGTTTACTGGGCTTATGGTGTACTACGTGAAAACATATCGAGTGCTTACGTGCTGAGCGGGTATTGGTGAATTTTGTCAATATTAAACACGGTATCCACTGCCCCAGTATGTTGGCGCACTTTCGGCCATGTGTTACTTTGGCCGAGACAAAAGGGCAACATTGGCAGCATTAATGCAGCGAGAAAATGTTTGTAATGCTGATGAAGACGTTGCGTCAGTTTAAGAAATAGAAGTTCAACCACTTTCTGGCACGATATTACGAGGGTCAACCAATTTTACTGATGTAAATTTGTGGCCTCTTAATATTGACCATGAAATTAGTGTGATATTGGTTCGTCTAAGAGATACTGCAGTTCTATCCTCGATCATGAACAAAGGAAGTGGCCTTGCTACGCCCGACTGCGCATTGGGAACAAATGCACCGTTCACCATTTTGACTAAGGAGGTATACTGACACCGGTGTACTTAACATCCAGTATGAGCAAAAATTTCATTTATTTCTGCGTGAAGACCTTCTGCAAATAGAAGGAGCTAGGGATCCGGCCATTATCAGAAAAATCAATTAATAATTTGCAGCACGAACTGGAGGCGAATAAAGGCTGCATGAAGTTCTTGCTTGATTGCTGGATATGATCAGGTTGTTGACATGGAGAACGCAGCTCATTGGACACTGAATAGGAATCCTAGATGCAAACTTAGGTTAAGAAAATAATGACCATGTTTTAGAATAGGTACAATTGTAGGCGAATTAAGGCCTTGTTATACAGATACCTAGGGTGACATTCCAACCTAGAAAGTTCAACAGTCGCTTTCGCACTGGAAGTCCGAAATGAATTTGTCAGCATTTTGAGAGTAACTAGAGCACATAATCATGCAAAGGAAAGCATGTGTAATTGTATAATTTTACGTAGCACTCTCAAGGCTTATCGCAAAACGAATAAATAGTTCGTTGCACTTCAGAAAAATAAAGAAAAATAATTGAGGACTAAGGGGGTGATTTTACGCTTTACAAAGACCAACTGTATGGGCTTGAGAGAATTTCTTGATTGAACGAATTTGGGAATGCTGAAAATCCGGTTGGTGATGGCCGGTCCCGATAACCATACAATGCTAATGCAGTGGCTGACTGTTTATCAGGAGTTCCGCGAAGCATACGCAAACTCAAGAAGAAAGCTACAGTTGTGTTTTGCACGAATTATACGCCGAACGTGGCCTGTGTATACACCGTTTCTGAGATGGTTCACTCGGTTAAAGGGTTTGGTACACTAAACCGGTTGCCATCTTTCTTTTCTACACATATATGTTGCTGTTACTTTTTAATTTAAGGGACGTCAAATACCGAGCAGTCTGTAAATAACAGAGAAAGTAGCGAGCAGGCGCTGCATATGGTGAGTAGATCATCGAAACTCATGCCTGTTCTGCAAAAGCTCACAGAAGAAGGAGAATACACAACCACAATATTAGGTGTATCTTTAATTCTTATATCGTTATTTTTAATTATTTCGTTTTTAATTCTTTAGAGTCCGGTTATCTCAGAAGTCAATGATGCACAAAGACATATTTGAACAATTAGGCTGGATCAGCAACCAAATGCCGTCAGGCCAAAACATTAAGCGATTATTTTCTTCCAAGTAAAAAGAAGATGTGCACGGTCCAACGTTTGGATTTGGAAAACTGTGCTCTAAGTCTGGGATAACCATAAAGGGTTACGTCTGCAACAACAAGCGAATGAGTTGTGAAGGTTTGATTGAGAACTAGGCGTGTTCTGATGTTAAGTTGCAACAGGAACTGTCATCGATCAAATACAGCCTGACCGATGAAATATATCTTACAAAGTAGTAAAAGTATGACCTTGCAAACCATGTTTTCCTTGCACTGTAAGCTCGGCTTAATGACGACGAAGGTTGAACGCTTATCGAAGTAGTGGATGATATAAAAAAGAAATTTATTGCCACTTGGAAAAGAGTTCATTAATAGATGAAATATCTAGCAAACAAAAATGATAGTTACGCCTTGTAAATTTCATGATCAACAACGAAACATTACCTTGGGGAATCTGTACTGAGTATTGTGATTTTTCTAACTCATCTAAGATCCTCCCTATTAATATTGCTAACAGCGCGCTTACTATAAGCTCGATAAACTGATGACCATCTTTACCAGAAACAAACCAGACAAAGCTCAAGGACTTACCAGTTCCTTCTGTTGAGAGGAAGCTTGCTGAAAAGGTGAATTATGATGGTGTTTCCGGCGATTCCGCCATAGAAAAAGCAAGTAAAATGCGTTCACAAACTTTGAACCGGACCGCTTAAAACGGGGATCTAAGATAAGCGCCTTGCATGTAGATTTGTAAGCAGAAATATGAAGCGCTGTATGCAGTTCCGGGTTTTAATATCTTACTGCTGCTAATCGTGGGCGGAAATCTTACGACATCACAAATTGTTGCTTTGTCAGTGGATTACATTCTTCCACCGTGCATGCCACATGAAAACACTTAAGGATACATTTAGGTAAAAATAAATGCGACAGCGGGCGGAAATACATGAAACATTCCTCTTAGGTATGAAAACGGCTTGACCAATTGTGTGTAAATTCATACCATTTGCAGTTAATCTCACTACTATTGGGATGAGGTGCTTAAGTTTAGAACCCAGGTACGATGTTATTCCGCTTGCGAAAAAGTAGACAACAATTGTTGAAATGCCATAAATTTAAGTTCTGCTTTTCAATTGCCAAAATATTTGTATATTATAATGTCTGCAATTTATCAACAATAAAACACATGAACCTGTTCAACAAAATTTTTAATAACTAAGCGTAATTGTTTGGGCATTGGAAAAAATTAATAGTTGTAATGCTCCGTATGTTTTAGAATCTTGGTAAGGTAAACGACCCGGAAGGAAGTAAAATTTTATGGTTAAAGTAGCTGAATCAGTTTCGGAATTAGGAGATGGATCATCCGTTTAAATAACGTAATAAGACAAATAACGAAGTTTAGACAAACAGACGCTAATATAAGTGCAACAACTACATAATTGGGAAAAATGGAAAATATGGCAGTGTTGATTCTTCATACGTAGTGCTTACAGTGTCGACAGATAACTCAGAGCAGATATTTGGTACTAAGGAATTAATTAGCGGTTCTTCCAGCATGACATTATGTGTATTACAATGAAGAATAGGGCGGCTAACACAGAGGTGGGAGCGCTGTCGACAAAAATAGAATGTACTTTCTAGAAATGCTGGAGAAGCTGGAACGAATAATCATACTAATATATAGTGGGGCAAACCGTGGGTGATAGATAGGTAGAAGCGAAACTGCAGTGACGCATCGTTAATCAGCATAGTTATGTAAGTCAGAGCAAGTGAAGAAACAGAACACAATAGAGAATACGCGAACTGAAAATGCCTACGGAATCGCAATATGGGTGGAGAGATTAGGTCATGAAGAATGCATTAAAGATCGCGGTAAAGGTGGGAGACGGAAACGAGTCTGGTTGGCCTAAAAGCGGTTGAATAACAAGTGATACTAATGTCGAACTAGACAAATCCTTGCAGTGCCATGTTTGTGAGTTGTTCTGAACATCTGCTGTCGAAAGTTGAGAGAAGCCAAAAGATGCAGCCATCCTACCAACCAACAGAAGGTTATGAACTAACCGTTGGAAATATTTTAGCGACAATCGTTATGAAGTTGGGAGGAAGCAAAGGCGAAAGACTGAAGAGAGCAAATGAGGCTAAACATACGAAAGGATGAAGCATGGCGTGTTAACAATTAAGAGTAGACGTCAACGTT